TAATTCAGATTTTGTAGTCTTAAGTGTGGCTTTTCTCCTAAGATTATAACTGGGGTGTACTCATTTTTGTAACATGGATTTGTCACTTTTCTGTGTGAAAATGAACAAATCTTGTTTGTAATCAATGACCCACATTAGTGGGAGTCTTTAGTAGTTTGGTATCTGATAGAAAATGTTGATTCTGAAAGAAACAAAAGGTTTTCTGATGAATGTGGTAGGGTATACTCATTTATGCAGAGCGTTGTACCTCCTGATGACTCAATAGCCTCGTGTTTATAACATTATTATGATGGATTCATCTGATTGGCAAACTTAACTTTAAGTGACTTACATGTTTCAGTGGAAAATAATGTCCTCAACCTTCATCCTTTTTACCTCCATCCTCATGTAAGCTACTTTTGTGAGACTCTTATTTTGATTAATACTGTCAGACAGGATTTGGTGTACAGCGCTTTTATTGTGACGACTGGAAGTGTGTGGGTTGGTTGTTGGGGAACTTGACTGCTGTAATGTGAAGTGACGGACGGTGAAGTTAATAAAAGAGCCTCTCAATTCATGGCCATCGTCCTCTCTTCATGTACAGCTTTTATACGTCAATTCAATTCAAATGTATTAATAAAGCGCCAAGTCACGACCAGAATCATCTCAAGGGCCTTCACACAGTAAATATTCCAACACAGGTCAGTTCATTAAGCCAATCAGTAAAAGGTTTCCTATATAAGGAACCCAGCAGGTTGCATCGAGTCACTGACTAGTGTCAGAGTTTTTACAGCAATCCTCATACTGAGCAAGCATGCAGCGACAGTGGAGAGGAAAACTCCCTTTTAACAGAGGATCCTGGCACAGTATAAGCAGCCATCCACCACCACTCACTGGGGATCGAGGAAACAGAGCAGACACGCACACACGCACACACACACACACACACACACACACACACACACACACACACACACACACACACACACACACACACACACACACACACACACACACACACACACACACACACACACACACACACACACACACACACACACACACACACACACACACACACACACACACACACACACACACACCATACTGTAAATCCTCTAAGATTGGCCTGTATTTTTTTGGACATTTTACTTTTCTCTTTCTGGTGCTGTGAATCTTAGAGGATTTTTGCTGCTATTTTTTCACTTTTTGAGCATTTATTATGAAGTGTAACCATGGCAACAAGCTGGTTTACAATTGCGAGCAGCTGATTAACATTGGAAAGGCTGAAATAATACCTCAACTGAAGCCAAAAATCCCAAATGAGCTAAAACGCAAGAAGCGTGGGTGCAGAGCGGGAGCAAAACAGAGACAGAGAAAGAGGAAAGTCAAGCCATCTCTTCCACCGATCATAATGGGCAATGTGAGATCACTGGCGAACAAGATGGATGAACTCCAAGCCCTTTCAAGGACTCAGCCAGAGTATCGGCAGTGCAGTGTTATGCGTTTCACTGAGACATGTCTGCAGGTCCATATCCCCGATTCCAGCATCTTACTGCCAGGATTCCTGACTGTACGAGAAGACAGAGATCTGAAGAAAAGCGGGAAAAGAAAAGGAGATGAAGTGGCAGTGCTTGTCAACAACAGATAGTGCCATCCAGGTCATGTTTCAGTGAAATGTCGTCTCTGCAGCCCAGATGTTGAACTCTTGGCAGTAAGTTGTTGCCCATATTATTTGCCAAGAGAGTTCACCAGTGTTGCCAGCTCAGTGTCCTAGTGGTAGAGTGTTCGCCCTGAGACTGGGAGATCAGGGTTCAATTCCTGGTTGGGTCATACCAAAGACTTAGAAAAAAATGGGGCCCAGTGCCTCCCTGCTTAACACTCAGCAATACGGGGTTGGATTGGGGGGTTAAACCACCAAATGGTTCCCGAGTGTGGCTGTGTCTGCAGCTCACCGCTCCCCCAGGGGATGGGTCATATGTGGAGAACAAATTTCGCACACACATCAGTGTGTGTGACAACTAATGGGCCTTTAACTTTAACTTTGTCTTGGCAACCGTTTATATTCCACCTTCAGGAATTGCTGAAAATGCATGTGATGCCATCAGTTCCGTTGTCGCTAAGCTACAAACCCAGTACCCCAATGCATTTGTGGCTAATTCTGGTGATTTTAATCAGGCCTCGCTCTCTGCTACACTTCCAGCATTTCATCAGTTTGTCAGCTGCTCCACCAGAGAAAACAAGACATTGGATTTGTGTTATGCAAATGTAAAGAATGCATACATGTCCAAAACTAGGCCTCCTCTGGAACAATCAGATCACAATCTTGTTTTTCTCTGCTCAGAATACAAACCACTTGTTCAGAGGCAACCTGTGAAAAGAAGAACTGTGAGAAAATGGTCACAGGATGCTGAAGAAGCCCTGCAGGGTTGTTTTGAGACCACAGATTGGATGACTCTCTGCCAAGGATATGAAGAGGACATCAATGCCATGACTGGATGTGTCACTGACTATATAAACT